CGCGCAGGGCCACTGGGTCCGTCATGACGCCGTCAGCGACGCCGACCTGGCGCCATATCGAACCGCCGACGGCAAGTACATCGTGCCCGCGACTGCCGTGCACGGCGCCTGCAATGGCGATGAGTTTTCAAACCTCAGCACGCATCTCGCGGCGCCGATTGGGACGTGCACTGCGACGCTCTCCCACTTAACGTACGACAGCGCCATGACGACGCCGCACCTGACGCCGCTTGACGCCCGCGACGCCTCGTGGACGCTCATTGTTGCACTTCGGTCGCCTCATCCGCGCGACGTGGCCGTCTCGTTTGGCGCACGCGCGACCACTGTGGCGGTAGCGGAGGCGAGTTGCGTGGCGTGGTACGTGGACTGCAGCGTGCGCCTGGCCCCTGTCGCAGCCGGCCAATGCGCCTACCTCGTCTATTCGGTGCAGCACGTCAACGCACCGACGCCGCGAACGTCACCGCCGTGCGCCGCCGACGTTCCGTGCATGCTCGCCACGTTATCGGCGGTGCCCAAGCAGTTTGCGACGACGTATGCGTATGCGTGCCCCGGGTCGCTGCGCAGCAAGAATGACATCGTGCAGAGTCTCGTGGCCGCCGGCACTGTCGACGTTGCGCTCGTCACGCTCTCGGATGATCAGTCCAAAGTGTACGCGCAGTATGAGCTGCGCGCACGGTCCGCCGAGATCAGGCGCCAGCATCCGTACATAGCTCGCGAAGCCGCGCATCGTCTCTACCTCGACGAGCGGCGCGGCGAGCTCTCACAGCGCGCGCTCAACGAGTACGCTGGTCGTGTTGCGGTAGATCTCGAGCGCACGGCGCCACGTCCAACATGCGACTTGGACGGTTTTGATCCGACGGTCGACCACAGCACGCTACTGGCGACCGACACGACGCCGTACGTCGAGTTTGCTCAGTTCGTTGATGACGCCGAGCGCATCGAGTATGAAACCTACGGCGCGTACGCGCGTGCGAACGACTACGCCGACTTTCACCTAAACCCGCTGCCCGACTTCATCGCGGCTGTTGGCACCTCAAGGAAGCCAGTGCCAGCACCGCCCCGTACGATTGCCGACGCATTTGTCATGACGCCCATGCCAGCAGACATGGACGTGTCGGTGCTCTTTGGGCGCCGTATCAACAAGTGGGTCGCCACGACGACTTTGGACGACCTTGGAGAGGCCTCGGTCGTCCTCTTTTGGCCAAAGAAGCATCGTGTCCGTCTTCTTGGCTTCGCCGCCGCGTGTCGGCTGCTGCAAGACGCGCTGACCGCACCGCCGACCGACGATGTGCCGCTCGGGTACGACAGCTTGTCGGCGCTCGCGGCGGCCGTCATGGAGATGCTGTGTGACAATGACGTCATGACGTCATATGACGATGTCATGACGATGCAACAGCTCGCAACACGGTATGCGCCGCTTCGATCGCTCTACATTGCGCACGGCATCGACCTCTTTGACGACGCTATTTCCCGGTCCGGCATCCAATGGCTTGCGACAACGTGCGCAACGGTCGGCTGGCTGGACGTCGGGGCCGCGATCGTCACGCTGGTGGACCAAGGCATTGGGGACTGGCACAAAACGTTCACACATCTCCCCCTCAACTGGTCCAATCTGGCTACGACGCTTCAGTTCGTCACGGCGCTCCTCGACGCGTTGGGGCAGCCGCCCTACTGCGCCGAACTCGTGTTCTTGCTGTGGGACACGGTGGTCGCCAATTTGGCGCACTTCCGGGACGAGCGATATGACGAAGCGACGCACGATCGTGTACTGGTGCTGCGCTGCCTCTTGCAGCTCGAAGCACGCATCCTCGCCGACGTCGAGGCGGCGTCGCCGACGACAATGTGGCTCGGCGGTCGGCTGCCCTCGTCACTTTTCTGGGTCGTCCGTAGCTTCGTCACCGCGCCCACCACAGTGGTCTCGATCGTGCAGCGTTTCCGCGCCGCCATGGACCCGGCGCTGGTGCTGCTCCCATTTGTCCTCGACGTCGGCAGCGTAGCGCAAATTGCGCCGTTGTTGCCAGACGTGCGCGCGTCCATGGCGTCGTGCGACCTCGTCTTTGACGTTGTCTGTGATGCCGGGTCTGTCATGTACATGCTGCCCGAGTTTTACAGGAACGTGCTTCGCTGGCGGGGCGTCCATGGTGGTCTTCTACGTGCGGTCTCGCCGTCGTTTGCCCGCTGCAGCCGACGCATCGTCTATGCACTCGTACGCGCCGTGCACAAAGGACTGGTCGTCACGGCTTGCGAAGCTTGCGCGATTGCGGATCTCCTTTTGGGCTACACCACGTGCCTCGTCGACAAGAGCTACAAGCAGCAGGGCTCGCCGTGCGGCGGCGATGCCAACTACGACGGGCGCAAGGGCGACTACGGTACGCCCCCGACAAAGGCCATGCACGCGGTGCTGCTCATTCTGGACCGCCTCTCGCCATTGCACGTACCGCGCTTTGTCGACGATCTTGTGGACAAGGTTGTCAGTGACGAGCACGACGACACGCGACTGTACCACGCCCGACGCGTGCTCTACCCGACGATTCGCTTCTTGGACGCCAAGCTCCCGATGAAGTACGCCTCCAGTCGCGACGCGCTGTGCGCGGTGGTCCTTCCGATGCTCACGGCGGCGGCGGCGATCGCGTGCGGCTGTGACTACTGTACGACCACGGAAGAGAACCGCGCGTGGCTGACTTCATGCGATGAGCAAGAGCGCGATGCGGCGCGCCTCGCGTACCTCCATGCAACGCCACCGACCATCAAGCGTGCTGCGGCGCTGTTGACAGCTAGCACCAAGTGCACCGAGACAGCGTAGGACTCCTTTATACCTCGAGGCAAACTTGTCGTCAGGTTGTTAATAACGAGTTCACTCGCATGCATTCGATGAAACTGCGTTGCTCGTGAATACGTCACTTGCAGGAGCCCACTAAATGAAATGTAAAGGTGTTGAGACTCGAGATACGACTCCTTGTCGGCGTTGACGCACAATGGCTGATCAACGCAAAGCGTGAAGTCTTCAACGAACTCTTAACAATTGCGTGTCTAGTGGTAAGTCAAGTCGTGTGATACTTTCCAAATGCTTCAAGCTGATACTTTCCAAATGTTTCAAGTTGATACATAGTCTTTCTTACAAATCTACGTGCAAAGCAAACTGCGCTTGGTCGTCGGACAGAGCCGAGATGGCTTCCGGGCCCGCCGACGTCGTCAAGTACGCGACGACCTTGCGCTGCTTGCGGTCGCGCGCCGTGTCAAGCACATGGGACGTCCACGCAAACTGCTTGGTTTCGTGGAGCCACTGCAGCAGGGCTACGTTGCCTGCTGCCGCAGCATGGAGCAGCATCATCTCTTGGAGAACCTTGCTCGTTGCATGGGGCACATGCGCCAAAACAAGCTCGAGAAGGTCGATGCGCCCGAGGTTTGCCATGCGCACGTAGAGGCGGTCGCGATCCTCGACGACGTGGCCGTACGTTTTGACCACAAACGCAAAGACAGCGTCGTGCTGGCCGTTGAGCGCATCGAAGAACGCGTCGTCCGAGCAGCCTTCGGTCCGGTGCAGCTGTAAATACTGCACCACGTCCAAGTGGCCCTCCCTCGCCGCGGCGTCCATGGCTGCTGTCGTCGACGGAACCGCGTGTAGCAGCAACAGCACTTGGAGGTGTCCGTTCCGGGCGGCCGCGACCACGCAAGCATCGGAAATACGACATGCTTCCTCGTCCATTCCAGCGACAAGAGGCCGGTGGTCGAGGAGCCAGCGGACAACCGACACATGACCGTTCGCCGCGGCCTGTGTCAGCGCGTTTGCGGTGCCACCTTCTGTGCGGTGCGCCTGTAGCCATTGCGCAATCTCCAAGTGGCCGTGAGCGCACGCGTTGTCCATGGCGCGCGTCGTGCAGAGGTCGAGACCCAGATTCTGGAGCAGCTGCAACGTCGACAGGTCGCCGACGCGAGCCGCCACGTCCATCGCACTGTCGCGCCACGGCATCGGCGACCAATCACCGGTCGGCTGCCATGGCGTCGACGGCGGCGCGTCCTCCATCGTCCACAAGAGACTCGGGTGAGTCAGAGATTGGTCGTTGGCGCCCGCGACGGCGCGTAGCACGAGCGCAATGCAGTCCTTGTCTCGGAGGCGAATGACCGTGTGCAGCAAACTCGGTGTGGCCATGTCCAGCATCGTCTTGTCCAAAATGAACTGGAGCGCAGTGCGGCCGTGGCGCTCAATGGCTGCGGTCACCAAGTTCTCCGAGATGTCCTCAACGCCGTGGTCGCAAAGCAGCTGGAGCATCGACAATGGATCGCCCGGCGCCGCCGACCGATACGCTGCCCCGTCCCACAGCTCATTCCAAGGCTCGATGGTAGTACTGATGTCAAGGCGAGCCGATGTGACGAGGTAGAGCACGACGTCCACATGCACGTGGGCAATGGCAGCCAGGAGCGCGTCACGGCTGCAAACGGCGCCGCACTGTTGGTGCAAGAACGTGACGACGTCGACGTGGCCGTTGGCTGATGCACCGTCGATGGCTTGCTGCGTCTCAACCACGCCGGCGGCATGGCAGTCTCGTACGATGTCGAGAAAACCGTTGGTCGCAGCCAGGTCCATGGCTGCAGACGGTATGGGAAGGTGCGTCGCCAAAAGCTGCAGCAACGAGAGGTGGCCGCAGGCGGCAGCGAGCGTGAGCGCACCGGGCGTGACCCAGTGCGGCGCAAAGGCCAAGTAGTGCCGGACGTGTGCTACGTGGCCGCCAAGGATCGCGAGGTGCAGCGGCAGCGCCGACAGTTGGTCGTCGAGGAAGAGCCACGAGCTAGGGATGGCATCCTGGCACTCTGGCGAAGCGGCAAGGTACCGCTGCATGTACTCGGTCGCGAGAGACGAGGCGGGAAGGTTGGTCAAGAAGGCGGCGGGCAGTTCCGGGTCGTCGCACAGCATAGGGTGCACACCGACGTCGGTGGCAAGCGCGTGAAAGCTTTGCGTCGCATGCGGCAGTCCGTGCTGGAAGCGCAGCATGAAGGACACGAGGCTCTTGTTTCGCAGGACGGACGCCATGGCGGTCCTGCTGATAGTTGGAAAATGAAGTGCAAAGTCGCATTTTTCAGGAGGTTGTTCAAGTTGCGGTTTGTCAGATTGTGGAAAACAAATGGATCTAGTCGGATTACAATCTGGCTCGATGTTGCGCCAGAGTGTGTCGAGATATTCAGTTGCGCCAGACGTCCATTGAGATTCAGTTTTCAATTCTCAAATGTACAAGTTGTTCGCTTCAGTCTACAGCGATCGGCATTTCGGCCAAGCGACAAAAGACGCAAGAAATAGCGTCGTCACCGGCAGATGCCATGCGACTCTGAGCAAGCAGCCGTAGGAAGCTACTACCGGTGCGTACCGTCGTCCAGATCTTCGTTCGACATGGCGTTGATGTAGACATGGTAGTGGTGGTAGAATGGCTTGACAGGGCGTGAAGGGCGTAAGAAAAGGCTATAAACGAGCCAATGGCTTGTCGAGAGATTGCACACCATTTGCGATAGATTAGCATTGTCTATGCGTACCAAGTCGTCCACATCAATGCGACCTGGAACGTGAGAGGCACCCGCGCTCATGGCTTGTCCTGCTCGCGGGCAAGGACTCGTCGAGTGCAACACGTTTGTTTCTTATCGGTCTTATGGTTGAGTCCCCAATTATGTTACGTGGTCTTGGGCTTTGTCATATCGTTCAGCACCGTCTGCGCTGCCAACTCGCCTTTGGCCATCGCGTTGCGCACGACAGCCCACTGCATTTTTTCGAGCTCAATCTGTCGACGTACGAAGCTGTGGTAGGCGCTGTTGCAGGCGAGCGGCGCACCGAGGACCAAGACGCCAATCTCGACTGGCGCTGGGAGGTCAACGACCAAGAGAACCGCGAGGATATACCAGCTCGCGCAGAGCAAGAGAAGGTAGTTGTAGCTCGACCAGCTGCGCGCCAAGTGGTGGGCCATCGACGCTTGGAGCGTTGCGAGCGCGTTGGTGGATTCGGCGTGAACGTCGTCCTTCCATGCGACGCGCGAGATGACGTCCATGCCGGTGCAGAGCGTGTAGAGAGAGGCAAGCAGGTATGGCGCCGGAAACGTGAGAAGCATCATCGCTCCCACGGCATAGAGGACGGTCTCGGTTGCAAGCATATTTGACGAATGACGCGGCGGATGTCGAGACGTCGATTGCGGGTTGTGTCGCTGGTTGTGTCGACGTCATCGCAGCATGACGTTCTTTCGTCATGTCGCTGTACAGAGTTTGTTGTCCTGTCACAGCTGGGCTTGCATAGTCCAAAAGCGTCTATCATCAGTGTATAGACCCTTGGAATCGTGCATACTAGTATCGAGAAACCAGCGCAAGAGCCATACAGTTAGTATCGGCGCTGATACTGGCAGCACAACACTCTCTGCAGAGGACGCGTTGATGCGCCTCATTGTATTGGCCCAAGCAGCGGGCACCGCAGGATCGAACCCGGCGCCAGTTTCCACATCAGGTAAGCCACGTCATCGGGGCCTCTCCTCCATCGGCCTTGGTTGATCACCTGCTTACTGCTGTCGTTGCACGCTGCCACGTCATGGTGACAAACTGCAAAAAATAGCAAAAAATAAACTAGCAACGACGATTAATAACTAATAACGAACGCACGACTAGGCAATGTGCTCATCCGGGTGGAGACGGCGGTGGCGGAACCATTTGCATTTCTTGAGGCATTTCTGGAACGACCGCTGCAGCGCAAGGAACGAGATGAGCGTGCACATGGCCATGAAAAGGATAAACTTGTACTGCATGCCGAGTTCCACTTGCTGCTCGTGCTCGCGCCGGTAGTGCTCCTTGTGGTGCTCGAGCTCCGCCGCCCCCATCGGTGCCGGCGCCGACGACAAAAACGCAAGCAGTTGGGACGCGCAGGCCGTCATGCCATCGCACGCGAGCTGCGTCGTGTTGCCGTCGATACTGTACATGGTGATCTCGGCCGTCGCCTCGGTCGCGCACCGGTCGGCGATGTGGTGCACGCAGGACGCGAGTTCTTGGAGCCCAAAGCCGTCGCGGACGCACGTCATGGACGGCGGCGGGCAGTCGACGAGAAACGGCGTGAGTCGATCCTTCTCGGAGCTCCCAAGCCCGTTGTTGGTGGCCGCTGACGAGTACGCGTTGTACGTTGGAAAGAAGATGTGTCCGACGAAGTGCACAAACATGGTCAGGCAGAACGCAAGCTGAATGATGCTCCAGAGAAGCCCGCACGACTTGGCGACCGGTGGGGCGTCGTCGCAGTGGCCGCTGTGGCTCCGGCTCCGGCGACGGTGGTCGTCGTGCTCGTGGCGGCGGTACGTTGGCATGGGCACAACTGTTGGTGCGTCGGGCGCCACTGTGATCGTCGCGGGCGTGCTCACCGGCGGTGGGCCGTTGGGATACTTGAGGTCCACCGGAATGCGAGGCGGTCGCTTGCGGCCAGCGACCGGCGCCGCGTTGCGCTGCGGCGTAAAGTAGGTTTGATACCGGGGCACGTCTGTCATTGACGGCGCGGACGGCGTCGGCAGCAGCACGTCCAGCAGCTCGGCTTCGTCGTCGTCCATGAGGGTGTCCCAGAGCGTGGCCTCGGTTGACGGCGGCGCAGGGATGCCAAAGTCGTACGTGCTGTTCGTGATCAAGTCGAGCACTTCGCTTTGGAAGAGTGCATCGATGCAGAGCGAGTCGTCGTCGTCCTTCCAGTCCAATACTGTCGAGGCCGGCGCTAGCATTTGCCGCTTGGTGCGGCCCGCGTCTTCGTCCGACGACGGCGACGACGGCGCGGTCACCGACGACGACGGCGAGTGTGGCCGCTTCTTGGCAAGAGCAACAGTCGGCGCGACAGGCGAGTCGGTCTTGGAGCGGCGGCGGCAATGGACTGTGAACGGCGGCGACGACAGCGAGTCCAAGCACTGCCCAAACGAGTCGCTGACCTCTTCGAGCACGTGGACGCAGAGCACGTGCTCGCGGTCCGACGAGTGCTTGTTGCTCATCCAACCATAGTGCCAGCCCTTCTTGGCCGGGTTAAAGTAGTACGACGACGTCTGCATGTTGTGGCCGGCAAAATATGGCAACAGCGGGTCCATGTCCTTGTTGGCCTGCGCGCGGAGCGTCTCGAGAGCGTACATGTTGCCGATCGAGAGCGTACTCTGCGGCGCACCCTTGAAGAGCGGTACAAACTCGGCGAGGAGAAGGTACGACTTGGTCGCATCCGGTGCGTCGAGGTGCACGGCGACGGGCCCGCCGCAAAAGCCCGTGGCCGCGTGCAGCCCGTTGCAGCAGTTGGGAAAGCAGCGCAGGTTCTTCTGCCCGCCCTTCTTGTTGTTGCGCTGGTACGTGTGCCGAAAGATCGCGGTCGCATCGAAGCGGAGGAGCCCGGGCGACGACGCCATGCTGCCTGGCTTGTAATTTGCACACAATTTCAGACCACGCCGGTCTGGTGGTAAGTTTGGCATCTGCCGCATTTAATTTGCCGACACGGGATTGGCTAGCGTCGTGAATTTTAGCCAATCCTCGAGAGGAATTGCGGCAGGGCACGCGTCCGCCTACCACCCGCTTGCGCCGCGTCCTTCGCGCCATGGCCAATGTAGGACCAAGACACCGAGCCAAGTACTTCAGTGCATGTAGAATAGTATGGTAGGCGTGTAGGCCGAGCGCGCTTTGCAGCAGCGACGTCGGTACCTCCAAAGAATGAGAAGGAAGGTGGGCGACCGACATTCCGACAAATGTGCTCGTCGAGGACCATCATTGCGGTTCCTTGAGAATTACACATCTCTCTGGTTCGCGCATAGCGAGGTTCACTCCGCATTTCGCTTTGGCAATAACCACTGCATGCTATAGACATGGCTAGGACGAGGCAAGCGCAGCACAAAGAACCGTCCGGGAGCTCCTCGCCAGCGGGAACCTCGAGTCTCTGCAGTCATTGAGGTCGAGTCCGACCGTCGTCGATCACGTGTCCCATTGCTCTGGGTACTTCTGGGCACGCATTGCAGCACAGTCCATTCTAGCATCCGAGTGATTGGTCAGACGCGCATGGGGTTGAGCCCAAGCACCAGGTATGAATACTATTAGAACTTATTTCAAAATGCAGTGTTTGAACACCTCTCACTTTCACTCTCTTTGAGAACCTATTGTCTGGTCGGGGAAGGGGACATACTAGCTATTCGCAAGAGAGTATATTAGATGCGTCATTCTAGACGTTTGCTAACGTTATTCGTCACCCATGGGTCGGGTGCGCGGCCCTACAATTCCGTTGTTGCCCTTGATTGATGGCATTGTGATCAGTCCAACTTTTTGGAGGTTCCGTACTGTTTGCGGCACATGCCAAACTTAAGAAGACGCCATGGGATTGGCGGAAAAAGCCAGCGATATAGGCCAATCGGTAGTGGGCTGGCAGTGGCAAACCTGCGGCTTCCATCCGACTGCTTGCACCATGTTCTTCCTCAAGCAGCTCCGCCGGGAGCTCCTCCTGCACCCGATGCACTTTGGCCCGAAGCTCCATGACATCATCCGCCTGCGCCTCATCGAAGAGGTCGAGGGCACGTCCCTCGGCAAGTACGGCTACGTCATCGCGGTCACGGAGGTCCGCGACGAGGACATTGGCCAGGGCGTCATCCAGGACAACTCGGGCTTTGTGTGCTTTGACATTGCGTACCGCGCGATCCTCTTCCGCCCGTTCAAGAACGAGGTGCTGGACGCGGTCGTGACGGTCGTGAACCCGCTCGGCTTTTTCGCCGAGGTCGGGCCGCTCCAGGTCTTTGTGAGTCGCCACGCCATGTCGACCGACTTGACGGAAGGCTACGACCACGAAAACAGCGCGTGGATATCGCAGGATCGCGAGGTTGAGATCCGCAAGGGCGTCGGCGTCCGCCTCAAGATCATGGGCGTCAGCATCGACGTGACGGAGATCAACGCCATTGGCACGATCAAGGACAACTATTTAGGCGTCATTTCGGCCGACATGTTTTAGCGCCATCGACAACATGCTCCTTCTTCGTTGTACATGTGTCCTCTTTGCCTGCTCTCGACAGGTAGCGTATGCCAGGCTGTCTACCTGAGCCCTACGCGCCACCTGCCAGCATGGCCGCCGCCATCTCCGACGCATGGAAGTCGCAGGCGAAAGGACGACAACGACGAAGAGACTATCATATTTAGGATCGATGCAATCGTTGCTAGCTGCGCTGCCACGGCCATTTGGTGCCCACGCGGCCGCGCACGTCTTCCATGGCACCATCGTCGTCATCGGAGCTATTGGCGCTGGGCGTGTCGACCCACGTGGCCTTGGCCGACGCGTCGACATGCGGCTTTACCGGGCCGACCGAGTTGACGAGCTCGCGGACGTGCTGTAGCTGCGAGTTGCCGTACGCGATCGCTTGCTTGACGAGGCGCTCGTCCGTGACGTCGATGGGCTCTTCGAACTTGGCGCGGATGGTCTTGCGCAGATCGTTGCGCGCGGGCGGGGCCAAGGGCGCGATCTCGCGCAGGTAGAGCCGGTACTGCTTGAGCACTTGGCTCCGGTTGACAAAGTACCCGAGCGACAGGAACGGCTTCTTGGCGGCCATCTCGCAGCTTTCCGACTCGTGCTGCTGCTCGGTCGCGGGTTGCGCAGAATATTATTATTCCATCTTTCGTCATAAAACGCGATACATAGTTTGGTTATTGCGTGTATTTTTATAGTAAAATACAATGCAGTTATCGTGACGCCCCGAGATCCGCACACTATTTCCGACCAAACGCCGGGGCCACCACGAAGCCCATCGAATGCAGTTTCGAGCGACGTCGTCGTCGCTGCCACCACGAGCAATACCCAGAGTAGAGTACACGCGGTCGATCGACACTGCTGCTATCGCCGGTATTACAGGCACGGCGCGTGTACCTTCGGCTACTTGCGCACTCTATACGTCGCCGACATCAACGCCGCCGAGCAGAAAGGCGCCAACCTTCAGCTACGGGTAACCTGCACGAGCTTAGCCCCATCCAAGCTTCGCACTAGGCTCACTGTGCGATGTGGCTCACTGTGCGATGTGGCTCACTGTGCGATGCCACGTCGTCCAGCAGGCCTCAGTGATGAAGGAGCCGCCTACCATTTTCCATCCCGAGCGCCACCGCGCTTGGCATCGACATCGCACTGCGACGACCGCCGCCGCAACGTAGCATGCATGTACATGGCTCTTCCAACCGCTCGCAAGCGTGAAAGTGGCTGCTCTCTGACAATACGGCGGCTTATCTCGGTTCAATTGCTCGGTCGCATCCACAGTATCTAGGTCGCATTTGTGTGAAATAGTGTGAATGTTCACTTGAAAGAGGGATTGAGCGGCCAGTTCAGTGCCGAGAGGGAACGCACTGATTGGTGCTTTGTATGTTGTGCAAATTGGTTGGATGTTGCTTGAAGAGGAAGAGGCCGGTTGGCTGGTGGCAGTCAGAGGGAAATCTACTATCCAACAGGTAACATCGACGTGTCCATGGAGGTGAGGCTCATGCACGAGGCCAAGTAGAGACTCCAAGATGGCTATTGAACCCACCCTTGCCGCTTTGGCCAAGAAGACCAACTGCGAAAAGCAGATCTGCCGTGTGTGCTACGCGCGCCTCCCGCCGCGTGCCACCAACTGCCGCAAGAAGAAGTGCGGGCACTCGAACCAGCTCCGCATCAAGAAGAAGATCAAGTAAATGAGTTCGCCCCATTCCTTCGACGCTGGCGTCTTGCGCTTCAAGACGATCTCTCGTTGCTGTCGGTACGATCGCGCATTGCGCGTAATATACGACACTGATCTTTTCCCTCGCCTGCCATGTCTACTCGTTTCTTGTTGCACTCGCCCATGGCCCTGGCGCCACAGAACGAGCGCCGCCCATTGGCAACCCCAAGGACTAGCGACCAGCGTCGCATTCCGCTATGGGCCATGTGACGGAGCAGCGAAACCTAGGCGAGAGGCCGCGCCGTAGACGAGATGCGACGGAGCGAGTGCACGGCCGCGATAGGGCCCGTCGTTGTGGACGCTAAAGCTATGATGAGCCGGCATGTCACCCGCCCGTTGTCCGTCGCTGCGGTGTGAGCGAGTCAACTGCGAGGCGACGTGCAATGACAACCTTGGAACATGCTCGTTAGCTCATGCATGTCTAGCCCAACACCAACGCCCTGGCTGGGTGGGCTGGCATGTCGTAGTCGTCCGCCGGGCGGCAAACGGCGCCTTGCACCTGTGCGTGCTGGAGGTGCAGTTCCGACTTTGAACCTGCTCATTGACGCGTCGTCGTGACATGCACTGATTCAGGAAATGTGAACTGGCCCGGCGACGTACTCTGCCGACACGGCGCAGCTGGCGAATGAGTCGCAGTATCCAGATCCTGTTGGCTCCATAACCTGGCCACCTCCATCCACTGCAAAGCTACACGTTTCAATGCCCAGGAAGGGCTTCGACAGCAACACGAGACAATTGTGAATGCTAGTAGTGAGTTGCATTAGGGGGTTGCGTTTACATGGCTGCATCTACTCGTTATCGCGAAAAGCGGCGCCGGGGTCCATGCAGCCAGAGCCGTGCCGGTGTGAACCATTTAGTTCGAGCCGACGGCGTAGACGCGGACGATACCGTCGGTGTAACCAGCGAAGAGCGAGGCACCGTCGGCCGACCAGCAGAGCGAGACGCAGTGCGGCGGGAGCGACTTCTTGCCGACGGCCTCGAACTCGGGCACGATCTCGTCGACGACGACCTTGGACTCGAGGTCCCAGATCTTGATGCCCGACGACGTGGCGGCGCAGAGCCAGTAGCGGTTGGGCGAGAAGACGAGGGCGTGGATGATGTCGCCGGCCTCGAGCGTGTAGAGGCGCTTGCCTTCGTTCAAGTCCCAGAGCATGGCGACGCCGTCCTTGCCACCCGAGGCGCAGAGCGACCCATCGGGCGAGACCGTGACCGTGTTGAGGTAGCCAGTGTGGCCGCAGAGGTTGGTGCGGAGCTTGCAGTTGGTCAAGTTCCAGACCTTCACGAGGCGGTCCCAGCCGCACGAGACGATGAGCGGGTTGGCCGACGAGGGCGAGAAGCGCACGCACGAGACCCACTCGGTGTGGCCCTCCTCCGTGATCGTGTACTTGCACTCACCGAGCGTGTTCCAGAGCTTGATCGAGCGATCGCGCGACCCCGACACAATCTGGCGGTTGTCGGCCGAGAACGCCACCGAGAGCACGTCCTTCGAGTGGCCGACAAAGCGGCGCGTCGTGATGCCCGTGTTCAAGTCCCAGAGGCGGAGCGTGCCGTCCCACGAGCCCGAGAGCGCGAACTGGCCGTCCGACGAGATGACAACGTCCTCGACGAAGTGCGAGTGGCCCTGGAGGCGGCGGCGGGCAAAGCCGTAGTTCTCGAGGTCCGACGAGTCGCCCGTGAGCTGCCACACAAGGATCGATTTGTCGCGCGACGCCGTCACGATCATCGAGGGGTTCTCGCGCGACGTGGCGATGGCCGTCACCCAGGCCTTGCCGTGACCGGCGAGCGTACCGCGGAGCGTCAATTGTTCAGCCATAATGCACTACTAGGAAAATGGAAAGTGAGTGCGATTAGCCAGCCGAGACTGCAGTTGCGCCAGTGAAATGACTGGTCGATGGCCTTTGCGTCGTGCCCCGGGGTACACCTCACATACTATTTAAAAAAGACGGAATATAGTGTACATACATATGGGTGGCTTGTGCTGCACTACTTACCGGTAGTAGTCGTCGACGCGTGCAGGAAGGCTATCGACGCCATGGACGTAGGCGTGGATGGACTGAGGTGGATACGAGTACAAGGGCGGGGCAGGTAATTGCGGCCTGAAGAGAAGAGTGCTCTCTGTGTTTTGAGTTGGGTTCCTTCCGGTGCTGGACGTTGTGCTTGGACGCGCACGTAGTTGGTGAAGGTGACACGATCGAGGCTGCGCGCTGTCGCCTTGCTATTGTACGACATCACTGTGTGACTGCAGCGTACTGGACGCTGACAGATACGACGAGATCTGTGGACGCGACGAACGTCGTTGCCAGTTGATGGCATCGCTCTGCATGTGAGGTGTCGCTACATGTGCGCAGTAAAGGAGCGTACGTACTCTACGAAATGTTGATGAGCAAGGGCAGCTCACTAGCACAGAGTACAAGGTTGCCCAGGAAGCATGAACGCTTGCGGTCTCTTGGTCTCGACACCCGGACAGCCTCCCCACTTGACGCATTGCGAGGCTGTCTGTGCAGCGACACGAGCCGCTTGCTGCTCTAGAACGGCGCAGCTCGTGCTTCGTCCTTGGTGGCAACCTCCACAGTGCACACAGCTCGTCCTGCCACGCGGAAGTGCCACGTCAACGCAACCGGTTGGTTCGGATAGCGTATCCGGTGGTCGCACCGCCACGAACGGCCAAATTTCTTATCCGCACCATGTCGACGACGACGAACGCAGCGGAAGCCACGCCCAACCGCGAGACGCAGAAGGCCGAGTGGCGCGGGTCGCGCCTGCAGTGGTCCAAGCAGGCCGAGCATGTACGCCTCCTTCTTGCTACGCCTCTCTAAGCCTACTTATTTGATGCAGAAACTGCACCAAGAACTCAACTCGATCGCGCTGGAAAAGTGCTACGCCAAGACCAAGGCCTTTGTCGACTGCTCGCACGAGCACGGGTACAACCTGCTATGGCGTAGCGTCCGTGGCCAACGTCATATGTATCTAGTCTTCTCGTCGTGTGGAAATGCCGCCAGCACAACGCCGACCTGAACGCGTGCCTGCACGAGTACACCAACCCGGAGGCGTTCGCTGCGTTCAAGGCCAGCCGCACGGAAGACATCCCGGTCGTTGTCAAGACGCCCAAGTCGGCGTAAGGCGGCCGCTGTGCAATAGATGACGAGCGAGTGACCCTAGTAGACTGCCTCTTCTCAATCGCTGTTGTCTTGCATCGCAGCCGAAAGCGAAGTCGACCGGCTTCGGCTGAGAAGCTGCAAAGCAAGCTTCGAGCTCCACGAGGCGAGGAGGCCTACTTGTGCTGCATCGCGCTGGAAGAGGAGCGTTCCATCTACCGGTATCGAGACGCGGCGTCTCGTGAGTGCTGTCGTCGCACCTGGGTGCACCGACGACTGCCGCACGGGTAGTCTTGCTTCCGGTGTGTCCGATGGATGCTGGATGCTGGTAGAGTCTCCGTTGCAGCCAAGTGTACATGCCAGCCCTCTCGCTCGTGCACTCAAAGCGAAGGTCTGGAGCGGTCGTCCTAGCTGTCGTCATCGTCACCAGCACGCGACATGAGCACATCAATTGTGCAATGTGGTGGTTGCCGCCAGTGCACAGGCCGTACAGGCCGCCACGTCGTCCGCTGCATCTCTCTACGTAATGCACTAGTTCTAGAGGCGTAGAATCGCCACCACAGCCCGACCTTGCATTCGCCAAGTTGGTGTCATCGCTCTCTCGCGTCACACTATTTCCGTCCTGCAGCAGCCTTTCTTCAAGTTTGGATTCCGGATGCATCCCGCAGCGGTACATGGCATCCCGCCGACGCCAGCCGGGCGCTCATGGCCCTCGTGTAGGACGACATGCAAGAGCACTCGCCATCGACCAAGGCCAAGGTGACGGCCGCTGCCCCATCAACGGTACGTGCCGATCAAGCGTGAGCAGCATGCGACCCCATGCGTACTAGCTGCGCCTCGAGTCGCCGTTCCATGCTGCCGCGCGACGCGGCCAGCTCGAGCTCCTAAAGTCACTGCGGAGCGCAGCCACTCTCGACTTGCTCAACGACGTACGATGCTGTCCTGCACGGTACTGCATCATCGACGACGTGGGTGTAGGACCACAACACGGCGTTGATTCTCGCTGCCTCGCGCGGCCACGCGGCTGTCATCGAGTACCTCGCCATCCAAGGCGCGAGCATGGAGGCAACGACGCGGGTAATGAGTCTTCCTAGCATGGCAATCGCAAGCATCGTGCGTATAGGATCACTCCACCGCGCTGCTCGTCGCTGTGCGAAAAGGCCATGTCGGAACCGCCCGTCTTCTCGTGCAACACGGCGCCGACATCGAAGCACGCAACAAGGTAGCAAGGATGGGACAACATGCCATCAAGAAACGTGTAGGCGGGCGAGACGGCACTGGCGATCGCGGCCAAGGTTCAAAATGCGGCGCTCGTCGAGCTCCTCGTGCAACACGGCGCCGACGTCAACGCTGTGCCAATCAAGGTACACTGCATGTATCCACGCTGTACAATGGCAAGACACGCTTGCAGTCTCTCTGCGCCATCGTGCGACGCGCCTTGGACGCCGTGCGGATCCTCTCAGCCTTTCTGTGCTCCAGCCAAACGTGGTCCATGCAGGTGCCAGCATGCCGGTGGTGATATGACGCCGCATGACGTCTGTAGCTCAAGGAGACGCTACTCGAATGCGCCTTCTTGTTCAACAAGCCGTCGGTCGTCTCGCTCTTGGTTCCTGTGACGCCGCTCGACCGCATGCACAAGGTCGGTTCTTGCGGACTAGTTAGTACATACTACGCAGCACTAACATGTGATGCTGCTGGATAGAGAAGCCACACATGGCTTCAGCGCGCCACTGTACGCGTCGATTGCGACGACGAGGGGCCGGCGTGCCTCTTGCTCTTACTACAGCACGGCCTCAACCCTGAGCTGCGCGATCGGGTCGGTCCTCTCCTTGTTCTCACCGTGTCGACTTGACGACCAACGCATAGGAAGGAAGCACGCCGCTGTCACTTGCGATTGCGGCGCAAAATGCGTGGGCTGTCAAGATTCTGGCTGCGTACACGGACTTGACGTCGATCGATGGCCTCGGCCTCGTACACCTCTTCCTTATAGACAGTCGCAAGAACGTTCGTCGTAGACGTACTTGGGCCGCGCAGCGAATCGTCCGACCGTGCTCGCGCTTTTGCTGCAAGCCGGTGCCGACCCCAACGCCCGCGATCCTGTACGTGATTGTGGAATATGAGGACAAGGTGTCCACAGTGTACGACGACCACTAGATGGGCCGCACGCCCTTGTACCATGCCGTTCAAAAAGGCAACTTGCGCAGTGTCGAACTACTACTGCCGTTGACGCGCGGTGCCAAGGACCACCGATTCACCCGCCGCGTACCATATCGTTTCAATTTATCAAGTGCCCACAGTGCTGTAGGTCTCGCGGTCGTACTTCGAGGTCGCACTGGCCAGTGAAAACGTTCTCGTGACGCGGTATCTCTACGTCCATCTCTTCGCTGACGTGCCGCCGCCGCCGACGCACGCGCTCTTCTTTCAACCGTTCGCAGCGCTCAGCGTGCCACGTCAGCGCTTCTTCTTCTCGCGCGTCGGCTGGTTCCGCGCCGTGGCCTCGCCGCTGAAGCCGATGGAAGCGGCGTACATCAATGCGCTCTGTGCCATCGTTAGCGACCCGACGTGGCCATCCCGCCGCACACACGCCATGGAATTGCCAGCGGACGCGCAGTCGCTTCTCGAAGCCGAGCTCGATACATTCTCGCCGGCCCTGTTTCTTCATCCTGCGCACGGTGTCGTGGTCTCGGACGCCCACCTGACGTCGTGGGACGCACGTCAGTGGCGGACGCTCTTAGCGCCACTGACGGCAACGCGCGGGAGCGACAGTCCAGTCCAGGACGTCGTGAGTCCGAGTGTCGGCTGCGGCGTCATTGGGCAGACGCAGTGGCAGGCGTCGTCGCATGAGATGCGCTTGAACAGCGGCAACGTGCTCTCGTGGGCGTCGGTCGTGCCGCCCGAGTGGCAGCGCCATGTCTCGGAGCACTTTCAGTGGCTGCCGACCCCGGTGCATGTCGACGATGCGACCGGCAAGGCAACGTTTACGTCGTACATCAACGATCTCGACCCGGGGCACACGCGCATTTACGATGCACTGGCCGCGACGCTGACGCAGCTACTACCGCTTCTTGCTGTCAGCACACACACGATGCTGCACGACGTTCCTCGCGTCCAGCGCACGCAGGTTTTGTCAACGTCCGAGCTCGTGCGTCGCCTGTATCACGCCCACTCGAACGAGACGCCGACATCGTCCAAGGTACGCCGGTGGCAGCGACAGCAAACATCCGCGGGTGTCGATTTTGAGGCGCTTGCCATGCGACCGGTGTTTGTCGATACCGTGCCAACTTGGCCATTTCCATCAATGTCGCTACCACGAGACCTCCTCGTGCACGTTGCGATCACGACGCTGCATGCCACGCCGACCTTCGCCGGTCAGAAGTGGACCAAAGGCTCGGGGTTGGTCAACGAGTTTGTCGTCGCCGTCGGCGTTGTCGTCTGCGACTGCAACAATGTCGCCGACGTGGCCATTGAGTTTGCCCACGAGCTTGCGCCGCCTCGGTCCACGACCAAGGTACTCGCTCTGCTGTAGGTGATGGAGCTCATGCGTTGATTGATGGGGCTAGGGAGCAGCGACGGCGGCGAGTCCACAGCTTCAGAGAACGGGCTACATGGGACTGACGCCGGGCCGGCTCGTCTCGATCCCGACCGCTGGCGTGTACCGCATCGCGCCGTTCTCAGCAGCCGATGCCAGCAAGCCCGGGCACGTGACGCTCGTGACGTACTACCTCGTGCACCCAGACGCGAGTCTGCTCTCGACGGCCCACGTCCTTCCGCAGCACAAGGCGTGGCTGCACCAGCACCTCGGTGGCACGCGCTTGGGAGCCCTTCCCGATGGTGTTCTCGACGATGTCCTGGACTTTGTTGGCTGTGGCTTTGTACGCGACGCCGAGCGTGCGGTCCTCGCAGCCGCCGACAAGCAAGTGCGCACACATAGCCTCGCTGCCTACCAGTTGCCGGCAGCGATGCTCTGAGCGACGACGACCTACACTGAACGCACATGGGTACGAAGTGCGTGGCTCGTTCTAGTACAAAGTAGACAAGATGTAGAAGCATGCATTATAAGCAGTGAATGCGAGAGACCCGAGGCTGCCACCTCTTGGACCTTGCGGCGAGGGCTAGGTATCGACACGTGTAGATGGTTTGGTGGCTCTCATGGCTTGACATTGGCGGGCTGTGCATCCAGCGAGACCTCCTAAGTCATGAGGAAGCTGATGCTAGTGGCAGATGATGGCTACGTACGGCGGCGGCGTCCTTCGGGTCGATGAGCGGTGTTGCCCGACACGGAATGGTAAAGCACTCGACGCCTTTGCAGTGGTAGTACAGCTGCGCCCGCGCCATTTCGCTCATGACCCGCTACGCTCGCTTGCACCTGCGTGTCGAAGAAGCAGAAGGTATCATCTACCTTCATCTTGGTGACGCGGAAGAACTCGAAGCGCTTCCAATGCAGCTCGAGAAGCGCGTTGACGTTGTCGACCCGGCGCTTTTGGTCGGTCAGGAGCCGCGCGCGCTTCTCGCGCTCCTTGTTGCCGCCGAGGACGATAGTCTTTTCGTCGACGTCGCGCTGGAGCTTGGCGATGGCCTTGATCGCCTTGTCGCGGTCTTCGAGGAGCCGCTTCATGGGCACCACGCCCCAGTCCTGGATCTGCGTGAGCTCGACGATCGCCGTCTGTTCGGGGCGTACGACCATAATCTCGTGCGTCTCGGTGCTCAGCGTCCGCGTCGCATCGCCCATGGCAGCCAGCACCGTGTGCACTGCCATGCAGGGCTCGGTGATGGCACAGTCGTCAAAGGCCTTGGCCAGCTTGGCCGCATGCGCATCGCGGGCCTCGCGGAAGGTCGTCGTCGCCTCGATCGCCTCGGCGAGCAGCTTGAGGTTGCGCTCAATGAGGTGCAGCGTGTTCCACAGGTGCTTGGAGCGCTCGTCGACCTCGTCCTTCATTTGCCAAGATTGCACGCCGGATATGCATTCAGTATCCGGAAGCCAAGTTGAAGTCCACGATCCGCTGCACGGTCGACGAACGTTCTGTGTCGCTAGCGTGCTTGATGCATCAGCACGCAATCGCTCTACTTGGCATATACAGTATTGTCGTCGCTTGTACTACCAGGAGCTACTAGAGGTATGTCAGCGTAGGCCACATGCGTCAACATGTACCTGGTCAGCGCGAGGTCGGACGGTAGTGAACCCAGGCACCGACAGGCAGGCGAGCCACTGGCCGAGCCGTCTTCTTTTGCGGTACCGGCGCCAGCCGTTGCCCACGGCAGTGGATGAAGCAAGTGTTACGCTGCTTGCACCCGAACCAGTGTACAGAACCAGATCTCGCGTGCCGCCGTCAAACGTGATGCCACCATCAACTGTCATGCAATCGACAAGTAATGCCAAGCAGTAGGCATGGCTCTGTCCCGGGCGTCGCTGTCTCTTCGCTATGAAGCCAAGCTCGGACGCACCTGCGTCACCAAGCCATTGCCACAGTTCGCACCTATACGCTCAACACGACTGACTAAACGAAGACTAACTAGAGACTAAACAGTCAACGACGGAAGGTGACGACGCTTAGAGATGCATGTTCTGCAAGGCGAATGCAACACGCAGTCTTCTGTATCGAATAACACACAACTAGTAGAAGAAGGAGAGACGACGAACTGACAAATACTAGTAGTAGGGTTAGGTAAGGACGCTGGTACACGCAATCGAGTTACTTGAAGCCCATGAGTTTCTGCACGATGCGGGGGCCATAGATCGAGTGGACTTTGTCGGCTTCCATGTACGCGACCTTGTTGAGCGCCTTGAGCTCCTTGGTCGTCAGCGCCGCGGGCCAGCGGCTCACCATGTTGTTGAAGAGCGGTCGAAAGACACTGACGCGGTCCGGCGTCACGTTCTTGAACACCTTGCGCAGCACGTCGTGGCTCGTGAGGAACCAGCAAAAGTGGCGCATGTTTTCATGCTTGCAGCCCGCAAGCTCTTTGAGCACCTCGACCGGATCGACGAGGTACTCGGGGTCCGGCAGCGAGTAACGCGATCGCGGCGCGGCCTTGAGCTCGGACGCGAGGCCGCGCGCGCTTCCCATGGCGCGCGCAAAGACACTTGCTTCGTCAACCACCGGCTTGGTCGTCGTCGTTGCCGGCATCGTAAAGCTGGCGAGATCGGCAAAGATATCCGTGAGCGGCGTGAGCTCGGGCGCGCCGCCCCGGTACGTGTACACACCCGTGCTCAGGCACTGGTCGTAGAGCGGCACGAAGCGCCAGCCATGGTCGGCGACGAACCGAATCGCGTCGACGACAAACGCTTCCCGCTCGCCCGACCAGTAGACGGGAAAGTTGAGGCGCGTAAAGCCGGGCTTGATGAAGAGCGCCTTGCGCTGCATGAGCGAAAACAGAATATGCGCGAGCTCGTCCGGCATTTGGAAGAGGAGCGCGCCGTACGGTCCGGCGCACGCGCAGCCCGAGCGCGACTGGATGCCAAAGAGGTCGCTCAGGAGGCGCGACACAAATTGCGGGTGTAAGAAGAGCGTCTCGTGGCGGATCAAGAACGAAAACGTTGGGAGCCGGGGCGCCGACGGGTCGCCGAGCAAGACAATGTTGGGGTGCGACCCGAGCGACGTTTGAACGCGCGTCGCAATCGCATGCTCTTGGCTCTCGAGAAACGCGACACCGAGCGTCGCCTTGAGCTGAAAGACCATCGCGGCCCGGAGCGCGCCGACAATGTCCGGGGTGCCACCTTCTTCGCGCTCGGCGATATCGTCGACGTACTGGTGTGTCCGACGTGACACGAGGAAGACGGTGCCACCACCGGGCACGACTGGCACGTCGTTCATCTTGGCGGTCTTCTTGGCCATGGCCTTGCGCACGCCGCGTACGACGGTCGAATGCAGCGTCGTGTTGCGCGCCGAGAGCTGAGTGTTGGTGGTCGTGCTGCTGCTTGTGCCGGTGCGAGACGTGTTGGTCGCATCGAGCTCGGAGCTGCCACCTTCGCTGCTCTCAGGGCCGCCAGAGCTCGTGTGCGCCGAGTCGCTTGCCGCCGATGCCCCGGTGCACGGCGACGGCGTCGTCGGTGGGACACCACTCCGAGTCGGTTGAGTAAACAGCGACCGCTTCACGACGAGGACACCGGGGGTGCCCGGGCCGCCGAGGAACTTGTGCACCGAGAAGAAGATGGCATCTTTAGCGACACCGCCTTCGTGCATGTCAATGGGCATGTAGGGCGCGGCAGCCGCATAGTCCCAAAGCGCAAGGGCGCCGTAGGACTTGAGGAGCTGCGTCACCGGCACCGTCTCGGTCGTGATGCCCGTAATGTTGGACGCGGCCGAGAAGGTGCCGATGAGGAGCGCGCGGCGACGAAACTTTTCTAGGCAGTGCTTGAGATGCGTGAGGTCGACGCCACCGCCTTTGCCGGGCCGAATCCTACATTTCGAGATTCAGATTGCACTTGCAAGTGCAAAGTGGGCTTACCGGACAATCTTGGCGCCCGACTCGCGCCACACCAAGTCGTTCGAGTGGTGCTCGTAGGGTCCCATAAAGACCACTGCGCGGCTGAGCTTGTAGAGCCGCGCGAGACGGCCGACGAGAAGGTTGATGGCACCCGTGCAGCCCGCGCCCGTAAATAGCCTAAGAACGTAGTGGCATGAGAAAAGTGGAAAATGAACATAGAGAAAATGAGCGTACACGACGTCCGCGGCGGGGTCGGCGCCGACCTGGGACGCAATGTACTCGCGGGCTTGGGTGCGCCACTGGTTCATCTGGTGCCCGCAGTGCGACGTCTCGGTGTGCGTGTTGGCGTACAGCGGCAGCATCTTTTGCGCGATCGTGGCTTCGATAAAGTCCACCGACCGGCCGGACGCGACGTAGTCGGCGTACACGAGGTGACGCTCGCCAAACGGCGTCGCAATGACGTCCATGTCACCCATCTCGGAGGCGCCGAGTCGCTGAAGTAGCGCGACTTGATCAGTCGACATGCTGAGTGTGTTGCTAAACGCAAAATGATCGAAAAATATGCAGGGCCCTTTGCGCGTCCCACAGTGGCGTTTTCTATTTCAAGCTGCATGCGAATCTGATGGCTCTTTGCCGTTGCGCACGCGGAGGAGGTCGACTCTCGGTCTATACAACATCTGGTCGGCAGCCCTACTGGCCCGACCCATACCTCTACCACCGGTACATGGACGAGGTTGCGTGCTTCATGGAGAGCGAGCAAGCACACAAAGCACAACGTTGTCGGAACGCTGGCGTTGATGCCGCCACGGCGATAAAGGTCGCATGTTCGTGCGACTGCGGTTGGGCGATGGAGCGGGCGTCATCATCTTCACCCAGTTCCGGGAGAATCAAAGGTACGGGCGCTCTGGCTGCGACCTTGCAGTTTGGTGGAAAGATATTATAGTTGGTGATATTAATGGAGGCATGGTGTGGGACACGCCTTCAACACACATTTGGCGGCAAATTATTCGCTATTTATCAAAAAATTGCCATGCATTAATTCAAGCGCAGGTGCCGTGATGTGCAGAGGCACAGTGGCGGAGCAGGCGCTTGTCGGCGCCATCGACGCCGATGCTGATGCTAATGGAGTTGCGTAGACACCAAGCAGACACTGTCGTACGTTCGCGATGGCCGACGAACGAGGCTGTCCTGAGCGAGGCGACACCGCGTTCGACGCTTGGTTCGTAGCTAATGCTCATGGCGCCTCCGAGCCGATCACTCTCGGAGCAATTTTTGAGCAATGGACGGCCAAACCGCCACGGCAAAGATACTGACAGGTCCTCTACCTTGCCTGTCGCTGGCACATCAGGCGTGCGATCACGCGCTAGCCACCAAATGAAAACGCCCCAAGCCACCAACTACCGTACACTGTACGCGGAGTTGGACGTGTCACCCACGCGCCTTGTGTCTACGCGGGCGTCGACAGTGCAGAGTGGACGTCTCCGAGACTAATACGGCATCTCTTGCTTGCTAAAGGCGATTGGTACGAGAAACGTAGCAAGAGCCAGCGGCCGACAAGAACCGCGGGCGTCCATCGTGCCACCGTGGTTGTGTCTCGTGGCTACTCGAACGCTGCTCCAGCGTCCGTCTTAACGTGCAGATGCAGGCTCGACGATCGAGCGGAACCAATTCGTTTGGTGTTTATTTAGCGGCGTCTCTAAACGGGAAGAAAGACTATAGATGTGGGTGTACGCAACGTACCGTCGACCTTGCAACGAGGCAACCACGCGCTCGTAAGATCGTTGTGAGTAGCAGTGTGTGGACAAGCCATCGAGCGAGGACAGCCATCGGCTGCATCTCCAAGATACTCTCTAGACGTGACGACGCGTCGACTCGTACTGGCGTGCGACGACGGGTGGCGACCGCTTGAGAAAGAACGATTTGACAGCGCGGCCGTCACACCTAGCGTCTCGCCCCAGCTCTTGCCCTGGATGGATGGCCACGGCTCAAGTCTTGTATGGACTGACTTCGGTCCCAACACCTTCTCCGTACTACCAGGTACTAGTACTAGTAGTAGCCTCCAGCAGTGACTGGCGGATGCTTCGGCACTGTTGTTGAAATGAGTTATTAACATGAAATTATATAGTGAAGATGGTGGACTTCCTAGTGCGCTCGTAAAGGTTTGGCCGGTACGTCAAGCTGAGGGCGCGCGGTCGGGGCTCTTGCTTCGGCACTGTGCCAGGAAGAGCTTTTTCGAGCAAATTTCGTTGTTTAGCGGCTATCATTTCCACCCTGACAAATACCAGTGCAATGTCGCTACGCTACCATCGATGACGGCAGCAGCCGACGTGAGCGTCTTCCGAGCAGTGCAAGTGCACGTCGAAGTGGACAGCGTCAGGAGGACGATACGCAGGCCTTCATTTCGTGAGGGCAGACTTTACGCAATTGTTTCCAGTCAATTTAGTTTGACGGTTTTATATCTTTTTTTTTCTATTTTTTGTCGCGAAAAGCGCTCAACCGCCAACGCTTCACGATTCACCGCCGTTCTAATTCGTGCCTTGCCAAGCAAGAGTCTCTGCGGCCAAGGTTTCATCTCATCCTTGCCACGTTATGCGTGTTTGCTCAAGCATACTGTACGCAGGCGACGCTGTCGGCTTGCGTTTGATCACGCAGCTCACGGCAGCAAGCCCGATTCGTCATGCGGGGCAGTAACGTGGTGGCACCAGATGTGCCGTTGGTCGCACAGCTTCGACGTTCGACGCCCCCAGCTGGAAGCGGAAGGAGTTTTACACTGCGTTTTACACTTTTTTCACATGGCCTGTCCTAAACGCCACACGCTACCTCGCAGGCATCGCTCACGTTCTTTCACGGGGCTAGCCTGCTATCCTTTCGCCAGCGACGTGTTGGCCTCGACGCATGTACAGTACGAGTAGCCACCGTTTCAGATTGCAGGTTGAGATTGCACTTGAGATTGCACATAATTGTAAAATCGCCCGCTCCGATTGGCCAACATTTTCCACCATTTTCCACGCGCAGAAATTCTTGATGTGGGACACTGACAGGTGCATTGCCAAGGGACGTGGATTTTTGGCTATTTTTTGGCGACCAACGACCGGCTAATTCACTTTGAGATTGCCAGTGAAATAGCCAAGTGGTCGGATGGAGACGCCGAGCGACAACAGCAAGTTCCTCTCGACGCTCGAGACGCCGTTCACGCTCGCCGTCAACGGCGAGACGCATCATGAGAGCGTCGACCCCGCGACCTTGAGCTGGCACAACTTGCGCTACACGGTCCAGCCCACGACGCTCCTCGGCAAGAACGGCCCGCCCAAGACGATCCTCAAGAACATCCACGGCCACGTCTCGCCCGGCCAGCTCACGGCCATCATGGGTCCGTCCGGCAGCGGCAAGACGACGCTCCTCGACATCCTCGCCGACCGTGTCTCGAGCGGTACGATCGAAGGCAACATCGAAGTCAACGGCCACACGCGCCACTCGTCGTCGTTCCGCAAGATGGCAACGTACGTGGCCCAAGAAGACTCGCTCCTCGGGTCTTTCACGGTGCTCGAGACGCTACGGTTTGCGGCCAAGATTTCGCTCCAGGATGCGCATGCGGTTCAGGAAGAGCGTGTGCAGGCTGCGATCTCAGACATGGGTCTGACAAGCTGCGCCAACACGCGTGTCGGCGACCTCTTCTTCAAGGGCATTTCCGGCGGCCAAAAGCGCCGTCTCTCGATTGCGATTGCACTTTTGACGAATCCGTCAATTTTGCTGCTCGACGAGCCCACGTCCGGTCTTGACTCGGCGTCGACGTACCACATTATGAAGTACATTGCCAAGCTCTGCGCCGCGGGCCGCACGGTCGTCTGCACGATCCACCAGCCGTCGGCCGAGGTGTACAACATGTTTTCGACTGTCTCGATCCTCGTCGAGGGTAGCACGGTGTTTTATGGGTCGCCGGCCGCTGCGCTCACCCACTTTGAGTCGCTCAACTACCCGTGTCCGCTCTATACGAACCCGGCCGAGTACTTTGTGAGTTTGGTCAACACGGACTTTGAGGGCCACGCCGATGTGCCCGCGTTCGTCAAGTCGTATGCGTCGAGCGAGCTCTGCAACGGCATTGTCCGCGCCATTGAAGCCGACCGCCACGCGGCGTCGACACTCTTGCCCAAGAAGGTGCTGAGCCAAGGCGCGTCGGGCTTGACGCAGTGGATGGTGCTCATGCACCGCAACACGCTCGACAATATCCGCAACCCGGGCATCTACTGGGTCCGGCTCTTTATGTACATCATGCTCTCGTTCATGGTCGGCACCATGTACTTGCACACCAACACGGACTTGACAAAGGAAGATCTGCTGCCGATGCTCTTCTACGTCCAAGCGTTCCTCGTCTTTATGAGCGTGGCGGTGCTGCCCTTCTTTATCGAGCAACGCGCCGTGTTTGTCCGTGAACGCGCCAACCAAGGCCTCCACGTCGGCAGCTACGTCTTTGCGAATTTGCTTGCTGCTTTGCCCGGTATCGCGCTCATCTCGATCCTCTCGACGACGCTCGTTGTGCTGCTCGCGGATCTCAACGGCTTTGGGTACTTCTTCCTCAACCTCTTCTTGTCGCTTGTCGCTGCCGAGTCGCTCATGTGCGTCATTGCCGCGGCCGTGCCCCACTACATTATCGGCATTGCGCTCGGCGCGGGTCTCTTTGGGATGTTTATGCTCTGCGAAGGCTTCATGGTGCCCAAGCACGCGATCCCCGACTACTGGATCTGGGCGTACTACATGGCATTCCACACGTACTCGTTCGAGTCATTTGTGTATACACACTTCAACCCGATGCAAGCGACCGATGCGACGGCCAAGGCGATTCTGGTCCGCTACGGCTTTGAAAAAGTCGACGTGAACCGCAACATGGGCATCCTCGCCGCGTACACGGTGCTCTTCCAGCTCATCTTTGCGTTCATCTTGTACAAGTTCCACACGGGCCGCCGGTAAACGACCTCGTCATAGCTTCTAGTTCAGGTCACACGGATCCTCTTAATACATGGCTTTTGTTTCGTCTACTTGGCTTTATTATGGAAGCATCCACAAGCGACCCATGAAGGTAGACTCCAGTAGCAAGACGAGGCGCTTGGAGAGGTCCTATCTCTGGTGATCGACCGACGCCAAGATCTCTCCGAGTCTCTGGGCCATTGCAACATCTCATCGGCAGGCAGACGAGAAACACATCACAAGTATCCCCATACACTATTCACACCAGCAAGGGTCTCTACCGTAGCTCTTCGAAGACGTTAAGGACGGCATCGACGAGCCTGGGTGAGCTTAGGGTTAGGGTCCGGTCGTCGGCATGGACCTCTGTGTGGACGTCAAGAATATACCAGTCTACATACCAGTCTGCATACCCTTTCTGAAGACTTCCGGTAGCAGTGACAGACCAGCGGCGACCTCGCATGCTATGGGGAGCGGTACGTGATAACGTCGGCTCATGTGGCCACCCCGCAACTGCCTACGGCAATTACTCACTTTTGGTATCCGGACCCTGTCCATTATGCTTTTTATTGTATTTTATTTCTTGTATTGTATTGAAACCGAATATTTATTTGAGCAAAACACCCTCCGATAAAGTACCTGGCACTGTATCCGGACCCGTTGGCGTCGCCGCACACAGCAACGCGCCGAGGATGGTGTCCAAGGTCTTTACGAGCTTCCTCTGCGTCTGCTGCTGGCTGCATGGCGCGACGGTCGGCGTCGCGATCGGCGATGCGCTCGATTTGCAGCACTTCTTCCTTTTAAGTGTCGGCGTCTTCTTTGCGATCACGGTCATCTACCCGACGTCGCGCCGGCTCGCGGTCTCGGCCATGTTTCTCGCCTGCGCCGTCTTTCTCTCGGCGCTCGTCAAGTCGCTCGCGTTCTTCCGGACGCCCAACCACCACAGCGCCTTGCCGGACGTCGGCCACGACTTTTTGCCGTCGATTCCGATCCCGCCGAGCTTTCTCTTGCAGCTCGTGCTCGGCGCGACCGTGACCTTTGTCGCTCTGCATCCGATGCGCAGCATCATTCTGCGCCGGGTCCTTTTGATCTACGCCGCGCTGCTCATGGCGCGGACGCTCCTCGCGCTCATGACCTTCCTGCCCGACTCGAACCCGACGTGCCTCGTCGAAGAGAAGAACCCGAGCGCCCGCGAAGTCGTCCAGCACTTTCTGCTCTCACGCCGGAGCCTCGCCGAGTGGATTCGGTCGCAGACCAACGTGAGCCTCGTGGCGTGCCGCGACACGATCTACTGCGGTCACTCGACGCTCCTCATCATGTGCGGCATGGTGTGGCACACGTACTACCACCGCGTCGAGAGTCCGGTCAACTGGGTCAAGTCGATCGTGTGGACGACGGCAATCACGGCCATGGTACCTCCTTCTGCCACGTCATGAGCGTGCTTGTCATGTCTGATGCGATCCATGCTAGGTGAGCTCGCTCGCCCGCCGCGAGACGTATACGCTGGACGCAGTCCTCTCGACGTACTTTGCCGTGACGGGCTGGGCGACGTACCATCGGCTAGCCAACGACGTCTTGACAGGCCAGCGGTTCACGTGCGTTTGGCTCATCGACAAGGTGATTGTCTATCCGCTCGTCGAGTGGATGGAGGAAGAGGAGCAGGTGAAGAAGCCCCGCGAGGTGCGACTGTACCGCCGCGACACGCAAGAGCAGGGCGAGTCGCCGCCGCCCAAGAAGACCACGGCCACGTTCCGAACGAGCGAGTTTTAGAGGCAAATCATGTAAACCGAGACGTATACAAAAGTCGCGATCGCACAAGTATCAACTTGATACAGCCGTGTGCGACTTCAACGCAGCACTGCGAGACAGTTGTTGATAGGCTCGAGCTAGGGCTTTGAGAAATGGAGCCGAGAGTGATCCTACAAGGGATGCCTTAGGTAAAGGCCGTGGCAACCGTGCACTCGATGCCCCACGTCAAGGACTCGTTCACCGAACGTTCTTGTGTGTAGTAGAAAATGGCCCCGGCACAAGTGGCCTCATGGTGACAGGATTCTGCAGACAGTGCTCGTAGCTCTGTTCGTTCTCAGCCAGCCGTTGGCCCGCGGGTGTGCACCTGCGTCTTGGTTCCCTACTCGCAGAGCTACAGCAGAAAAAGCTAAGGACATTGTCGATTACCGCACACGCAAATCTATAACAGCCTGCAAGGTACATGTACAAGCAAGACGGAAGCGCTCTACGACGTGCACCACTGGGTGCCGAACTCGGGGGCAAGGTACTCGCAGTACTTCTTATCGTAGTCAGCCGTCAAGCACTGCGACGCGGCCGGGTAGTAGCAGCCATTGCAGCCGTTGCAGTTGCCGTGGGGCATCTTCGTGGGCTTGGACGGCGGCTGCGGCTCGGACGATGGCTGCGACTTGCCGCTCAGGGCCGGGTACGACGGCATTTCGGCCACGTTGCACATTCCCTTGCTGCTCACGCCGCGCTTGAGGTAGATGTAGCCTTGCTCGCCCCAGCCCGTGCCCCACGAGTTCTTGATCTTGAAATGCTGCTGGCCGTCCTTGGTGCCATACCCGACAGCAATCACGGCGTGGTCCGACTGCGCTCCCGGGCAACTCTGCACGACGCCGCTCTTGTAGTTGCGCCACACGTTGTTGCCAGCCTCGACGACGACCGTCACCGGCTGCTTGTCGAGCGCGCTCTGGAGCGCACTCTCGCCTTGGATGTCGACCGACTTGCCGACGCTGACCTTGGTCTTCTGGCA